AGGGGGGGGGGGGGGGGGGGGGGGGAAAAGTATCCACACGGAAACCTCTCACCTCTGGCAAACACCCTGGAATCCTCAGTTTACAGTGTGGATCACACAGCTTCTTCCACAGATGTGGCTGTTACCCAATGTCAAGAGGCACTGTTCATATGCATAAAGTTAAGTATATATTTAAGAGTGTGTAGGCTGGGGTCTAAGGGCTTCTCAACATATGGGCATACTTGGTAATAAATCAAGTGTGGACATACTTATGCTGGCATAAATGTGCCATGTTCCTGTTCAGTTTAACTTACTTTTGAAATACATAAGGGACCAAATGGCTTGTCATGAGCAGGGCAGGGGATAGCAGGAGAGCTTTGTTCAGTGGTCACAGGTGGGGCTGATCTGTCACCCCCAAATCTGATCTACTGAAGGTGCTCCCTATATAGACCAAAAGGTGTAGCCATCTCTTGAAGGAGGTTGGCCCATGCTCCAACTGTGGCATCAGTCTGAACAGTTAACGAAGAAAAACGCAATTCAAAATTTGACTGTTAGCACCTTTAAATAAGTGAAACTCAAAGGCAACCACTTAATTTCAGTCATTGAGGACAAGGCCCGCACTGGACTCTGGGGTTCTGGGCTAGCACTGATGAGCTCTTATCCTGCACCTGTTTCACCCAGCACTGCTCCTAGGAGCTGAGAAGAAGCAGACAAGCTTGCTTGCTGGGTTGCTGGCTCTCAATTAGTCACTACCTTTTCCAAACTCTTGTAGCCTGGTCTGAGTGGGTTTCCTTCAGGTAGGGGTGTCCAGACACGAATACCTCCAGCTGAGGCTAGTAAAGTTCTGATAGATCCCATTGCATGGCCCTTTCAGGGCTGTCTAAATTATGTCAAGAACTGGTTTGGGCTTCTGCCTGGATGCAAAGGTGGCTAAAAGACCCTGCAATGTAGCCTCCTTGTACACCGAATTTGGTGTAGCACCGAGCCGCGCCTAAGGTCTTTAACGAGTATGACTGGTCGTGGTCTCTGTTTTTATGTCCTGTGAAGTGTAGACACCTACAGAATTCCACATGGTCCTAATATTGTGATTGGAGTATTGAGTTTGTACTTCTCAGCAAGGAGCCTGCAGCATGGTGAGTCATCAGCACTTAGAATTTCCAAAAAGTTCTCCTGCCTACGTACTCATGGGAACTTGGTTTGTTGCATGAGATCTGTCCGATCATCACAGCTTTAGGTGGTTTAGAAAGTTTTAAATCTGGGGAGCTGACTTTTTTCAGTACTTTGCATGGGTTTGAGGATGCCGGATTAGGGAAACATGCTTGGTTTTCCATTTATCTAATACTAGTGTAAGGATTTGAAGAAAAGAATGAGACATCCGGGCTGCTTGCTGCATATTATAAGAGCAAAGCAAACAGTGCTGAAAAATCATAAATTGTAGATTCTGACACACAGGATCTGGTCAAGAGGCTATGAAATAACAATCGTATCTCAAAATATAAGAAATTATAAACACAATTGAATTACAATAATCATTTTGTTTCCTAAATTGTATTAGATTGCTCAATGGTCACAGCAGCTAGTCATGTTTCATTTCCAGCTGACACTAACACACTTTAGAAGACAACGTATATTCACATTAACAACGAATGGCTTTCATTCCTTCAAGAGATTATGCTGCTGAAAATAAATCAGAGCCAACTGACCAGCTATAAACCTTCCTGCAAATTATTGTGCTTTTAAATCCATATTTAGTTCCCCTCCCCAGGAGAACAAACCCAGTGTTTTCCATTGTAGTAAAAAGAACCTCTTTGAAAATGCATGCTGGTAAATGACTGTTCCGAATACTTTCTGCAAAACATTGAGAAAACAAGTATACTGTTATTTTAAAATATGTAACAATCTTGTAGTTTCTTATGTACTTAAGTAAGTCTGCATGATTTAAACAATCCATATTCTTAGAGCAATAGTCCCTTTATCACTCTGGCATCTGTATCCGTGATGTGTTATTGCCTTCTGCTGAAGATCCATAATTCCCATGATAAAAGTACATTTACATGGTAGCAGTGTATTAGTGTCAAAATTCACCTTATATTGAACAAAAGAGAATGCAGAGACTAAAATGCTCTTTCCACCAAACAAATGCAAATTCACGTTCCCTTTCATGTTCACAACTTACTTCTCTAACTTTTAAACCCCCAGGCTACGTCTACACTGGCCACATAATCCGTAATAGCTATGGAAATGAGAGAAGTCAGAATAGGGAAATGC